ACCTGTTTGCTGAGCCGCACACCTCTAGCTATTTTATAGTAGCACTATGCTTATAAATGATAGGGACACTTAAACTGGACTTAGTGGAGTTTCAAAGCTGGAAGGAGAATCGACGACAGCGATGGCTAATAGTGGTGGGCTGCGCTTATGAGCTTATAGGTGTGGCTAAATTTTACCCACGTGGATTCATGTGACCAAAGTTATACCTTTATTTTTTAAAACAAAATAGCACAATTGCCATAAATAAACAAGTAAAATACTTAATAAAGTTATAAATTACAATGAACATAAAGTTTTATACATGAGCACTACAATACAATGTTTAAGCGAAACAGAATATGAATTAATGTGATCATTATAATTTCACAAGTCAGCAAACTGTTAAAAGGACTTTTCTATGAACTTTCCAACAAATTCTCCAGTTCCCCAGATCATAAACCCTCCCAATGCACCAATGGCTGCTCCTGGAGGTCCAGCTATTGCAGCACCAAATAGAGCACCAGATGCAAGATTTCCAGTTGCTCCTACAGCCTTTCCTTCTTTCTCATATCCATAATACTCCAGTCCTGCTTGGGCCAAATCTGCTACTAGTCCAACTCCAGTAGCTGCAGTTGCAGCTGATTTTATTCCTTGTTTGACACCTTGTGTTACGACTTGCTTTGTTCCTTGTGATGCCAAGCGCTTTCCTCCTTGAGCAACTACCTTCTTAGAACCTTGTGTAACTAATCGCTTAGTGCCTTGAGTAACTACATGCTTTGTTGCCCTTTTAGCTCCTCTTGAAGCAGCTGCCTTAGCAACACTTTTACCTCCTGCATTTAGAATCATTTTTGCTCCTTCCCTTGTTACCTCTTTTGCGGCATATTCTGCTGCTAGCCGGGCACCACCTTTAACAGCTCCTTGAGTGAGGGCCTTGAAGAGTTTTCATTTTCTTTGATAACACCCACAATCGACTCCTTGGCATCTTGCAAGAGCTCCTGTGCTTTGTCAATTCCATATCTCACTCCTTCTCTGACAATGTTTCGCCAACCATCAAATTTTTCATTCAAATACTCATTGGCCTCTTCGTATACTGCTTTCTTTAGCTCAGCAATCGCTTCTGATAAAGTCAAGAACGTCACAACTCGATCAATCAAACCTAATATAATTATCATACTCTAATCATTCAGTTTATATGTATTATATCTCTACCTTTAACTATTACAAAGTTTCCTGCCATCACTAACTATGCACGCTTCTTTGTTTACTCACAACTTGACAGCTAGCTATTATATATATATAGTCTACTTTATCTTTTTTTATATAGATAGACAGTGTCTAAGGGATATTCCCTAGGAATTCCCTCCCTAACGATGACATCACAATCAAATAATCTAAAAATAAGTTACAATGTAAAATTAACCATTATTACAACACTAATATTAATTATTATTATCATCTTATTCCAG